AAGATAACTTACCTATAAACATCTTATTGGGCTGTTTATTCTCTCTCTGAGCCTGTTTCTTCATCTGTAAAACGGAGATATTTGTATCTGTCACTTGGGACTGTTGTGAGATTCAAGTCAAAGTATAATAATGCTATGAAAGCATTTTATAAACTAGAGTGTACTAGGAAGAGGTATTATTTTTGGTTTTGTTCAAGTGATTTCCTTTCTTTTTTGGATTGTTTTCTTGGGTTATAGTCCCTGAAATGGGCTCACTGGTTCCAAAGAGTATGACTCATGATAATATGTTGATTCAAAATGAACTCATTCAGAAAATATTATATGTTCTCTGTATGTCCAGCTCTATTCTAGGCGTAAGGACTGCAGCAACAAACACAATAAAAGGAAACCTTGTCCTCTTGTTGGCCTGGTTTGACTTTTATTATATAAATAGTACATAATTATAAAAAAGTTTAATTCCTAAATGCCAGACAGAAGAACAGTACTATCCTGTAATAGCATTTCTATCATTCTGAAGTGAAATGAGAAAAATAAGGGCAATTTAGAGTAGGGTTATTTTTTGTTTGTATTTAAAAAAAAATTTTTTTTAATTGATTTTCAGAGAGAGAGGGAGAGGGAGAGACTGAGAAACATTGATCAGATGTTTCGCTTATTTATACACTCATTGGTTGACTGTTATATGTGCCCTGACCAAGGATCAAGCTCACAACCTTGGTGTGTTGGGACAATGCTGTAACCAACCGAGCCACCTGGCCAGGGCTAGGGAAGTTTTTCATGAAGACTTGTTTATCATACACCTTAAAGAAAGGACATAGATGGGATTGTATCATACATACTTTATGTTAAATTGTTTCTTTTACGAAACAAGGGTGTTCATAGATGTTAGAGGGGGTTTTAAAAGTGTTTATATTTTTAATATCCCTATTATCAGTTAAGATAAGATAGTTTTTGTTAGAAGGGAGAGAGATAGAGAGTTAGAAACATCGATCAGCTGCCTCCTGCACATCTCCCACTGGGGATGTGCCCGCAACCCAGGTACATGCCCTTGACCAGAATCGAACCTGGGACCTTTCAGTCCGCAGGCCAACGCTCTATCCACTGAGCCAAACCGGTTTCGGCAAGTGTTTATATTTTTAATATCCCTATTATCAGTTAAGATAAGATAGTTTTTGTTAGGTCGAAAGGGGGTCCAGGAGCTGATGCATGCCTCCACCAGGCAGATGGTGACGTAGATACTGGGCCCTTCCTAGAATCCGTAACAGGCCAGTGCACCAGGTAAACGGTGACGCAGATACCGGTCCCGCCCTGGAATTCCTAACAGGTCAGCTACCAGACAGATGACGACGCCTGGAAACCATGACGACCCCCGCAGCGGGAACTCCCACAGCTCATGCTCCCCGCCCTCACTGAACAGCTGTATAAAAAAAGCGCCCTCCTCCCTGTTGGTGTGGATCCACGTGCCCAGTCTTTGGGGTTCATGGGTTGCCTGGGGACGCAGTATAAAACCTCTCCTTCCTTCCTTTTCTAATCAACTCTCTTTATTTCCTACGCCGCCTCCTGAGCCAGCTAACCTAACAGTTTTCCCAGTTTGGAGGGATATATACTAGTACATGAAATCATAACGCATGGGAACCACTGATTTTTAAAAAAATATATTTTTATTGATTTCAGAGAGGGAGAGAGAGAATCATTGATCGGCTGCCTCCTGCATGCCCTCCACTGGGGATCAAGCCCGCAACCCAGGCATGTGCCCTTGACCAGAATCTAACCCGGGACTCTTCAGTCTGCAGGCCAACGCTCTATCCACTGAGCCAAACCAGCGAGGGCAGAACCACTGATTTTTAATTTAACTTTGTATTATCCATTGGTTTACAATGTGCTTTTATGTAGCTTAATTGAATTCTCCAATCCAATAACCACCAAAGAGGGGAGTAGAATTGGGATCAGGGAAGACCTCAGACTACAAGGCAGATCTCACAGTCTCAGCCAACCCAATGGGAAACTGAAGCAAAGATTGCCTGGCGTCCTTGTTGGAGGAGAAATTGCTAGGCCCTATACCTCTGAGTTTCGTCATTAGCGGGGGCTCCCAGGGGAGAGTAGGGCTGAGGTGGGTCCTGGAGGTGCTTTCAGCTACCCTTATTTTTTGCAGCGGAAGGGCATCCTCTTTCTGGAGGAAAAATGTAACCAGTCCCCTCCAAGGCCCCCCCAAAACCTTTCCCTTATTTTCCAAATGAGGGGGCCAAGAAAAGCCGGTTTAAAAATAGACGGG